CCCCCCCCCCCCCAGGGATAGTGAGGCCCTCCACGGGGGACCGTCAAAGTCTGTCATATCATTTGGGGGAAGACCTAGGCCCTTCTTGCTGTATCTGGGCTGCAATAGTATTCCCTCCCTAGGGAATGGGCTACAAATAAATAAGTTTCTTGAAAGTATAGAGAATCACACATATTGTTCAGTTCCTAGGTTGAATCTTACGTCCTCAAATACTCTACATATCCCTGATAGACTAAGCTAAATTTTGTGACTGTGAGTGATGAAAAGATGTACCTTATTCAATGTTCCACCCTAAAACATTGTTCAACAACTGGTATCTACCAGAAAGTTCATAAAAGTATTCATTAATCTTCCTCTTGTCCAATCCTCTAGGCCAAATTTGAGCTGATTGTGTCAGAGGCATCTTACCTTCGCAGTCTAAACATAGCTGTGGATCATTTCCAACATTCAGCCCAACTCCGGGCCACCCTGTCCACCCAGGATCACCAGTGGCTCTTCTCTCGTCTACAGGACGTGCGCGATGTCAGCACCACGTGAGACTTCTTCCAATCTCCATTCTCTCAGCCTCACTTTTTGTAGCCATTGAATCTTCAGCTTCTTTTCTCCCTCTTAGAAACCTTGTCTTTGTCAGAGTCTGGAAAGGAAGAGTCTCCAAGGAAGAGGGGTAGGAAAAACTAAGAAGAGGAGATAGTGTGAGGGTTCACGGTTCTATTAACAGATGAGTGAGGAGAAATGCTTCCTGGATTGAGGTTTTGGCATACATTCTGGGCGTGCCCTGCAGTGGACACAAGGTATTAAAAAAAAAAAGAAAAAAAAAAAAGATCACTGAAAGATTGGCAAACCAGAAGAGAAGGAAAAGGAATAGGCTATTAGAATTCTATTTAAGTTGATCAGGAATAAGCTAGTGCCAGCCTTGGGAAGGATGTGCTGCCTAGCAAGGGCGGAGCTGAGGAAAGTCAGGAGAAGCTGGTGATTCATGGAAACTGGAGCTGCTCTCACAATGTGCAGGGCTGAAGTGTGCTTAGCTGAGGCCCCCGTTCCTCATGAGACTGTTTAAATACTGTGCAGGTTCCTTTCCGACCTAGAAGAAAACTTCGAGAACAACGTCTTCTCCTTCCAAGTCTGTGATGTTGTTTTGAATCATGCCCCAGAATTCCGCCGAGTCTACCTGCCTTATGTCACCAACCAGACCTATCAGGAGCGCACCTTCCAAAGCCTAATGTGAGAATGACCCCTATCCCTACCCTTCGTGGACATTGCTGTGACCTTGCACTGGACTTGTTCTTTTGTCCACTGTGTCAGCTGGCGTCTCGGCCACTCTCCTTATCAGGTCCTCTCTGCAGTCATATCTGGACCCTACACATGGGCTCTTAATGTTCTTCCCAACCCAGATCCTCCACTAAATCCCATTCCCCATGCCTTCACTGAGCCCCTTTACCCCCACCTCCCTCCTCACCTGAGTCTTGCTTCTCACATAGGAACAGTAACAGCAGTTTCCGAGAGGTCTTGGAGAAGCTGGAGAGCGACCCCATCTGCCAGCGCCTGTCTCTCAAGTCCTTCCTGATACTGCCCTTCCAGCGTATCACCCGTCTTAAGTTGCTGCTCCAGGTAGGGCACCAGTTTCCTTGACTCAAAGACATGATCTTGGATTGCTTGTAGGCAAAAGATCATCCGTTCTTCTATGAAGTTTCCACCTCGTATGGAGGATGTCAGAGGTTTCCCAACTGCCCTCACCTTTCTTTCTCAGAAACCTTTGCTTTTGGAACTGGGTGTCTGACTTCTGCATCAAATATCCCTGACTTATCTCTTCCTGTTTGTCCATCCTTCCTCCCATCCGGCTCTTGCCCACTATTTGTTCTACAGAACATTCTGAAGAGAACGCAGCCTGGCTCCTCAGAAGAGGCAGAGGCCACAAAGGCACACCATGCCCTGGAGAAGGTAGGCAGCCATCACATCCAATAGCCTATTTGTACTCATTCAGGGGTAAGTTTTCCCCCGCCCCTTCTCCGGGTACCATGACTGAAAAAGGTCTGAGACATGGGTCCTGATTAGCAGGAGAGCTCAGCCATCTTGTTGTATGCACTAAACTTATTTTTTTCACATTCCATGTCCAGCCACTATGTTCCCAACACCACAGTCCCTCATCCCAATGTATTCTCTGAAATCTTGTAAAGTATTCCAGCAACCTAAAACATGACTTGGATGCTATTTCATTCAACCCCAACCTGGTAGAAAAGACAGAGGTCTGCAGGCATCTTCCCAGACAGCTTTAGGGGGACTGAAAACTCGAGACACTAACCCAGTGATCTTACCCTTCCTTTCCCCTGCTCCTTTGTCAGCTGATCCGAGACTGTAACAACAATGTGCAGAGGATGCGGCGGACAGAGGAGCTCATCTACCTGAGCCAGAAGATTGAGTTTGAGTGCAAAGTGAGCTGTCCCTCGAACACCTCCCTGCCTATGATCTCTTTAGCTTGTCCTGGAGGCCATCTTCTGACAGAGTCATCTTGCTTCCATCACCTCTAGCCTCCTGGTTCTGTCTGCCCTTGTCTCCATTTCTGGAATATGCAAATGATCCTTTTACTTTACAACACACGTTATTAGGTGGAAGGCGTAGCACTGTGTGTGGATTTTATTGCCTTTGGTGTAAGAGTAGAGGATGTAAATCTGTTGATGTATGTGCATAAGGAAACTGTCAGGATAATCAGAAAGGGGGGAGGGGCAATTGTTCCCGGAGGAGCACTCACTAAATGGCAGAAGGAATTTCCCAGAATAAGGCTATATAAGAATTTAGAGATGAAGAATGGTTGACTCACTTATTTTATCAGATCACCTTTAACCTAACCAGAAACAACATGCCAAAAACCTCAAAATCTCTTGTCCAAACAAATAGAAAATTGATCTTCAACATTGAACTCCTAGTGTGTTGCAGATACCACCTTTACTTCCCCAGAAGAGAAGGGAAGTCCTTCTCTAAGTTCTGCTGAAGCTTTTTGCCCAGGTCCCAGGTCCCAGCAGATCCCACCTTGATCTTATCCTCAGCTTCATGCCTGATTCTGCCTGTCCGTCTTGGCTCTGACCATCATTAGGGAAACATCCCTATCCCTATCCTTTGACTTTTAAGATGTCATGTTGTGCCCTCCTGCTTATTAATGTGTTCTACTTGGGCTCACAGACTTCTGCTCCCAGACCATCACTTTTTAGATCAGAGTCACCTTCCTTTGAGCATGGGAACACAGGAGCCACACACTAGTGCCGTGTAGTTAGAGGGTTCCGAGAGACACAGGATCTGGATGGGTTGGTTCCGAGGAAGAGGGAAGATCTGGAATTGGTGATCCACAGGTTGGGCAGGACTGAGAGGAAGCTCATGACCTGCCTTTTCTCTCTTCCTGATCTTAGATTTTCCCGCTCATTTCCCAATCTCGATGGCTGGTGAAGAGTGGGGAGCTGGTGGCCCTTGAGTTCAGTGCCTCCCCAGGGCTGAGGAGGAAACTGACCACTCGTCCAGTCCACCTGCATCTCTTCAATGACTGTCTGTTGCTGTCCCGACCCCGAGAGTCAGTGGCTGGGATGGGAGGCCAGGGGATACGATAGAATGGGATAGGGCTGGAGGGACACCAGATGACGGGCTTCTAACAGATCCCTTCTCAGACAGTTCACAGTGTGAGTCATGAGTCATAGCTTAGAGAACAGAAGTGGGGAGTTAATGTTACCAAATTACATCATGAAATCATAGAACCGGACCTGTCCCATGTTATAGACATGAGTAAACCACCGCAAAGAAACACCATCTTCTTAAATAAGTTTATCTGTGGCTTCCCTGGGTCATGCCCAACATATTAGCCAATACAGCCACTTGTCTAGTTTCAGAGCTTAAACTCTGGTCATTAGGATCTTAGAAAGTTAACATTGGTTCTTATCACTTCAACTCTTTAAAGTAGTGAATAGCACTATGGCGGTAAAGGGTTGGCTGAGACACTGAGATTATTGCATTGAGAGCAAGTTGAGCCCTCGTATGGGTTTTATATGAAGAGTCTGTAACAGCTAAGATCAGGAAGTTTGAATCCAAGACTATGAGTGTGAGGGTGGATGAAGTACAAAAGCTATAGAATCAGACTTAAAAGACATATCTTGCAGGGGCAGCCGGTTCCTGGTGTTTGACCATGCTCCATTCTCCTCCATTCGAGGGGAGAAGTGTGAAATGAAGCTGCACGGGCCTCACAAGAACCTCTTCCGTCTTTTCCTGCTGCACAACACACAGGGCACCCAAGCTGAATTCCTCTTCCGCACTGAGACTCAGTGAGATGGGGCTGGGCACAGGAGCTGGGGGTGGGTGTCCCTGGACAGAAACACAGCCGGACCATGGCCTTGGCACTTCTGAAATGGGGATCATTGATAGAGAAACCCAGGGCCCTACAGCTAAGCAGCAACTCGAAGGAGATTCAGTGTAGGATGGACTGTCCTAACATCTGCTTTCCAGTCTGTACTCAACAATTGCAAGGCCTGTGAGACATCAGGAGGGAGATGAGCTGGCGTGGAATGAGCAGGGAATTCGGTTGCTGTGTCTGTGAGATACAGCTCATCTGTGCAGCTCAGAGCCCAGGCTGTCAGGCACTTGTGTGAATAAAAAACACCATGTATGCTTTCTGCTTTTCCTCAGTCACCTAGCTTTATCCTCCGTTGAGCAGAAATCTGTAGTATTAAGACATATGAGTTGTAACCTTTCCAGTGATAATAGCAAATGAATACAATCGCATCTATATCTTGTTTTGAGAGTTAAAATGATAACTGTAGAATGTGGCACACAATATAAGAAATTAAAGAACACCCAGTAACTTTCCTGGTGCTATATGAGACACAGGAAAAACTTGTCTGTAAAACTGTTAAACACTTTCATGGTTTAAGACTCCGCATGATGGGGAGCATGGTCCCTTGCAAGACATTTCTACTGAGATCAATGGTCCCTGTCTTCATTCTCACAGAAGATAGTACTTGGGTTTGTACTCAGGATTTCACCTGAGACAAATAATCAGATGTAGCTTTTGTGTTCTTTTTTAGAGCTTTGGGCAGCATCTTTATGGAAAAGTGTCATTCTCAGTAACTTAGGTACAGAGGATAAGATAATATAAAAACCTTCAGATGATCACAAATTAGGCTAATATCACATATTACAACAAAAACAGCAATGAAATGGATATAGCTCCTTGGCTTACTTATTATGAAATAGTGATTTCCATCCTAGATATTTAATTGAAGGGAGGTGAGTGAGGACCAAGGATCATGCAGAGTGGTCAAGTCTAAACAGATTTCCAGACTGGAAAATGTTAATGCATGTGATGGACAGTTCACACCTTTATGTTCATGCATGTGATGGACAGTTCACACCTTGTGATTCTGTGAAAGCTATGCCTGAGGAGAGAAAGGGAGGAAAAACAGGCTACACTAACACATAACACAGCATCACACTGGGTTTCCAACCGGGCAGGATCCCATTGGCTTTAGGAGTCATTGAAGTAGACAAGTCCTTCTGGTAGCCACTTGCCTTCCCCACCACTGGCCCTCAGCCTATGTCCCCGGTTTGTAACTGAAGCTATGATTGATTGTCTTGTATTTTTTTTTTCTTCAGAAGTGAAAAGCTTCGGTGGATCTCAGCCTTGGCCATGCCCAGAGAGGAGCTGGACTTGCTTGAATGCTATGGTACGTAAAGACGCAACAGAAATGGCAGTGTCCATCTGTGGTCTCCTTTGGATGAAGGGTTGAGTGTGCTGGGGGCTTCTATGTATTGCTTTTCCTCAGAATGTCATGGTGGATTGCTGGTGGCTGAAGCTTAAATTCCTGTGATACATCTTCTTAAAAACTGGCATTCCCCATGGCAGTACCTTTCCTCATGCATTCACTGTTTGTTCTTTGTAGAATATATTTGTTCTTTGTAGAATATATATTCCTTTAAATCTTATCTGCTACCATTTTTTACTTACTTTTACCAACTGAAGATGTAAGATGGAAATAGTGTAGCTACAAGGCAGATGACAAGAAAAAACAACACAGCTTTGGTCTGGCTACAGCCAGACATCTAAGGCTGTTTGTCTTGAGCACAGGGTAGCCAGAGCCCAGAGCATGTCAAAGGAAGACTGGGTCTTTTGTGGGTAAAAAGAACAAATGAGTATAATGAACCTTGGAATAGGATCTAGGAGAACCCAACTGAACTCAATGCTGTTTTCTTGCTGTAAAGTCCACTGGTTAGCTTCATTTATGGTAGGTAAAGAGGATAGCATTTTCTATGGCTGCAAGATGATGCTGGGCTTTAGAAGAATGGTGCACTATTAATAATGTAGCATTCCATTTATTTTCTGCAAAATCAGTACAGCAAAGTATAAAGACAAACCCATCTGAGATTGCTTCTAGGACATGCGGACTGTGAACTGTGTTCCCTTGAACTTAATTATAGTCTGTGGGAATGCTGCCTGGCTCATAAGCAAACATCTAGAATTTCCTCATGAATCATTTTGATCAATGATCATCTTGATCACTGGGTGGTGGTGGTGGTGCACACCTTTAATCCCAGCACTCGGGAGACAGAGGCAGGCAGATCACTGTGATTTTGAGGCCAGTCTGGTCTCCAGAGCGAGTGCCAGGACAGCCAGGATTACACAGAGAAACCCTGTCTCAAAAAGCAACCAAACAAACAAATCTTGATCACTTACACATGAGGAAACTAAGGCAAACGGAATCAAGAGCACTAAGAAAGTCTAATGGTAGAAGCCTATTTTTAAAGGAGAGGGGTCCCTGACTGGCACAATGAAGAAATGATGCAGGATTCACAGACTTCAATTTTGAATCTTGTTGGAAAGCTGTCATCTAAGTTCTGAGTTCTGTGCTGAAGATCCTACTGACCATGTGACTTGAAATTTCTGATTGTGAAGATGCAATGTAACAAATCAAGAGCCAAAATTAACTTGTGCCATCTTTGATCACAATAATAGCCTTTATTATCAACCACTATGTCTGCCCTGTGACCATTAGGTAAGACTTATGGAATGTATTGTTAAACTTTAGTAAACCATTAACTTTCACCAGCCCTAAAGCCAAGTTTGTTAAGATAATGTCTCCAACCTATACAAGAGATATTTCCTCTTTGCTATAACCCGCCTACCTGAGGACCACACCAGTATATTGACAAACACATCGATTCATTCCTTGTTTTGTTCTGGGACCATAGGAGTAACCAGTTCCACAGTGGATTGTGTCATGGCAGCTGCAATCTATGCTTCTAAGTCATGGTCACTTTTATTTGGCTCAGAGCATACTGTCTTGTTTCCTTTGGAACAAAATCTATGCTTTGCACTAGCAAAGACAAATACATGCATAAAACAGTTGGATAAGGGATACACGGTTCCTCTCCAACAGTCAGTTCTAAGGAGTTCAAACTCTACTGAAGACTGAAAGGCCGGGGAACATTGTAGTGGGCAGCTGGTTCTTTACCCAAGCCTCAAGTATTTGTCATGATGAGTAATTAAATGTGGTCACAAGTCATTTTCCAGTCATCTTCCCCAGAGAAGTAGAATTTTTAAAGATTAGATCCCATACTAATATTTCTTTTTGGTTTTTCGAGATGGTTTCCCTGTGGCTTTGGAGCCTATCCTGGAACTAGCTCTTGTAGACCAGGCTGGTCTCGAACTCACAGAGATCCACCTGCCTCTGCCTCCCGAGTGCTGGGATTAAAGGCGTGTGCCACCACTGACCTGCAATATTTCTATTCTTTTATTGGCTTGTTTGATCCCTGGTTGGTGATAAATATGTTTCTAATTGCCTCTTTTGTTTGTATTGGGTTTTGGGTTTTGTTTTGTTTTATTTTGTTTGTCATTTCCCCCTATGGCTTTTGTTTGTTTGTGGTTTTTTGTTTGTTTGTTTTAAGATAGGTTCTCACTCTGTAGCCATGGCTGACCTAAACTTGTATGTAGACCAGGCTATACTCAAACTCATAGAGATCCATCTGCCTCTGCCTCTGCCTCCTTGAGTGCTGGGATTAAATGAAGGTGTGGGCCAATCGCTTCTTTTGTCTACAATTGCACACTTATCTCCTCTGCCTCAAGTCCTTCCACACTTCCTCACAGTTCCTGTCTATGCCCTAGTCACTGCTCCTAACTTTTCTTCACTCTTCTCTTTCAAAGATTCCCCACAAGTTCAGTGCCTCCGAGCCTACAAGCCCCGCGAGAATGATGAGTTGGCCCTAGAGAAGGCGGATGTGGTGATGGTGACTCAGCAAAGCAGTGATGGTAAGAGGGAGAGTCCATGAGAAGGAGGTTGGCACCAGAGGCAGCAGAGAGGTGCATTGGCTTTCTACAGCTGCCGCAACACAGCACTGACAGCCACTGATAACAATGGTCATTTTTTTTCTCTCACCTTACTGGTGGAGAAATCCCAAATCCAGGTGTCGGCAGGCTCCTCTGAAGCTTTTAAAAATAGTCCTTCTTTACCTTGTCCCAGTCTGGCAGCTCCAAAATGGCTTGTGGCTGCTTAACTCCAATCTCTGCACTCATATCGCAGTGGTCTCTTCTCCCTGTGTGCATATAAATTACCCTTTCTATATGGACACTGATTTTGATTTGGTTGATGGACTCCAGAGTGGCCTTGATATAACTTTATTAATTGTATTTGCGGCACTTTTATTCCCAAGTAAGAGAAAAAATTTGAGGTACCAGGGATTAGGTTATGAATAAATACTTTGATGGATAAAAATTCAACTCATAGCAGTGAAGAAGGTTCTGGAATGTTGGGGTTATAAATGTTAGCAGACCTAAGGGCAGCCATCTCCCTACCCTGCAAGACTGAGTTTTTCATGCTGGAGGATCCTAGTTCATTCAGCCTTAGGATATAGATTAATTTTCAGCAAGGAGGTCCGAGAAGTTAGCATGAGCCCTTAGCAGCTAATTCTTTTTTCCTGCAGGCTGGCTGGAGGGTGTGAGACTCTCAGATGGGGAGCAAGGCTGGTTCCCTATCCAACAAGTAGAGTTCATTTCAAATCCAGAGGTCCGTGCACGGAACCTTAAGGAGGCCCATCGTGTCAAGACTGCCAAACTGCAGCTGGTAGAACAGCAAGTCTAACTATTCTCAGTGAAGGATCTTCTGAGCTCACAAACAAGCATTCCTGGAGATGCCTGGCCACAGAAACCTGTTGTAGAGGCCTTTGGTGGACCAGGAGTTTGGCCTTCTGAAAGCCCAAGGACTAGCTCAGTCCCTCGCTCCAGTACTTCTTTGCATTGTGTGCATGGTAGGGAATATTAAGTGACTTCACACTGGATTCTGGGATCCTTTCTTCATAGGAAAAGGGACCTTGGGGCCTATGTCTAGGCTTGTACTGCCAGATGGTTCTTATACATCATCTGCTGCCCCAGTGCGGATGCAAAGCTGGCTGTGGACATGGTATCAGATGGACCTCAGCCCACTGGAGAGCGGGCTTTAATGGGGATTAGCACGTGAGGTGGGAGGTGAACCTGGTGACCTCCCTTGTGTCTTCCCATCTGGACATCTCCTTGGTGCATGGGCCCCTGAGGTCTTTGTTTCCCGGTGGCAATGTGAGGGTGGCATTCTCTCACTCTAATAAACTTGGCACTTCTCTGAGTGTTTTCTTTTCAGACCACTCAGCACTCACCACGAGCAAGATTCACAATGCAGAATTCTTAAGCACTCCAGCCTATTTCATGTGTCATGAAAGACCAAACTGCTGCAGGGACCGTATCAGCTACTGGCTTCTTTGAAAAAGCCCTAGGAGCTTGAGCAGTGTCGGTGACTCTGCTGCTTCTTGTGGCTTCAGAGCTTGCAGAAGATATTAGAAGGCACTGGTGAATGATGAGAGCCGTTCAAGTGTCTTACCGTACCCACAGGCACAAATAGGCTAATTGGGGTGGATTTGGAAAATGCTCTTCAGACAATTTATGGCTCTCTGTTGTGATTTGACTAGCTATGAAGTTAGTTGTCAGCCTAGGTGTTCCTTCTTCTTTGTGAAAGTCAGTGGAAAGAGTCCCAGAATCTAGTTATGATGCTGCCTTGAGTCAATCGGTCCAAATCCGTAAACATAAAATGCAGCACCCAGTTAACACGCTACATAGTCCTATCCAAATGGGTCACTGTCTGTCTCCTTTAACGTCGCCTTCTCAATTGAAGAATGTCACCGTCATTATTTTTCTTATTTAGCATCCTCATATGACAACACATGACATCCTTTCTGTCATCTTTTTGTTTGTTTGTTTGTTTGTTTGTTTTCCAAGACAGGGTTTCTTTGTGTAACAACAGCCCTAGCTGTCCCGGAACTCGCTCTGTAGACCAGGCTGACCTCAAATGCAAAAATCCATCTGCCATCTGCCTCTGCCTCCATTTGCTGGAATTAAAGGAATGTGCCAGCACCACCCAGCTGCCTGCTCTAAGTTCTTAATACATTTCTTTAGTTATGATATATATATATATATATATATATATATATATACACACATATATATGTATATATATCATATATATATCCTATATATATGATATATATATATGATTATTCCTATCTAATCTTGGAAAACCAAAAGGCATTTGGCTTTGACACACTAGATGGTCCTTAACATAAATCTTTGGTTAAAAAAGAAAGAAGAAGTAGATGTGAGTAATCTCTCTTTGGGTGAGTTAACTACACTTTCTGCAGACTTTGAATTCAGGGAAATGATGTCTATACAGATCCTCCCAGTGATTGTCACCTTCTCCAGTTTTCAAGAATTTACTTCAGTGTTTGCTGATGTCAGTGGCTTACGAGAAAGTGTGAAACAACCACATTTGAAACACCAGTGATTCTCGGCTTTTTGTTGCTTTTCTAAGGAAGCGATGCATGGGAGACACCATGATCCATAGGCCTATTTATAGATCTGAACTGTAATGAGCCAGGAGCTTGAAATCAAGTAAACATATACTGAATTGGTTCCTTTGTGTAGTTGTCCACACTGAATTGGGTCATTTTTTCCTGATTCTTGTCGTATAGTAAGCTGCTCGCTAAAAGTTCATGTTCGACACCCATTTTCACTTAAGGTTAACTATGAGCTTAAATTTTTTTTTAAGGTTTATTTATTTATCTTGTATAAAGTGTTCTGCCTACATATATGCCTGTATGCCAGAAGAGGGAACCAGATCTCATTATAGTTGGTTTTGAACCACCATGTGGTTGCTGGGAATTGAACTCAGGACCTCTGGAAGAGCAGCCAGTGCTCTTAACCTCTGAGCCATCTCTCCAGCCCAAGCTTAAAATTTTTATTGCTTATTATTTACTGTCTTAGTTATTTAGAATGACTTGATAACATCAGCTGTGGGGATTTTTTTTCCCCCCCTTTTAAGTTCTGAGGATCAAATCTAGAGCATTGATTGATAGGCAACCATTCTGTTACTCAGCTCCACCCATGGTCTCCTTTTTAAATTAACCTTGTGATAGATATTTAAAAGTCTAAATAGATTGCGTGTACTGACTTCCTTCCTATGACAGGTATTTATCTTCCTGAAGCATACTTGATTGTTGTTTGTATTCTCTTGAGGTACCCACATAGTCTGTTTTGTTTTTAGTGATCTTTCCCTTATGTATTTAATTATGTAATTAAGTATTTAGTGGTATTTGAATGATGAATTGTTTGGGGGATCAACTTGTAGAAATCCAGTGTTTTGGTATAGTAGCCCTTTTCAGACAGTTACTCCTTGCTAATCGCCTCCCCGTGACACAACTGAAACATTTGAGCACGTTTGGACTTGGCTTTGAGACCTTTCTGTAAATAACTTACGTGGTGATGACTTGGCTTTATCGCCAGCGCAGACGGGTGACCCTAAAGCCACAGAAGCTGTAAACATGACTCAGGAGCTGTAGGACTGCAGGATGGGAGCCAGCAGTTTAATGCAATCTTCTCACTCTGAACCTAGCTGTGTGGAAAGGTCAAAGGTTACAAGCAAAAGAACGATCGAGATGAGCCAAACTCAGCCCTGGATTCAAATAAACTTCTAGCTTAGATTTAGAACATTCTCTAGCATCAATAGCCTTTGATCCAGTTTTTTTTCCCAACCTGCCCATTTTAAAAATGACATTTATGAGTGGAAATTTCCCTAGTTTCTTGTAAGGGTGCCCAGCCTGCCATTTCCACAGAATGTTACAAAAAGAAATGACAACTGGTGGTCAGGGAATGTCAGTTCTGGGTGGCCAGCGGGCAGTAAACAGAGATTTGAGGAGGAAAGGCTCTATAAGCTGTTTTTCTCAACTGGTGAGGGAGGTGATTCTGATCCTGCTGCTTGGTTAATGAGTCATGTGCCTGAGGGCAAAACTTGCAACAGGGAAGGGCCTAGTCTGGCCACAAACTGAAGCACCAATGAGCAGATAAGTATTTTCCTGGCACTTTACCTGAATGTTTCAGAGGCAACTATCCCTGAACAAAGCAAATGGAAACTCGGGGAGTAGGAGCCAGTCTGTGTGTGCACTAATATGGAAATTCTAAATCTGCTCGAAGACCAAGGGGCTCCCAAACACCGAGGAGAAAGTTCAGACTGTTCAGGGAAGGTAGCCAAGATCAACAGCCCATTAGCTATGGAAGAGCCGAGTCACCGAAAAACTTCAGGCCACTATAGGAGTAAGCAGTCCTGAGAGCAAAGGAAAATAAGATGGGACCCATCCAGCCAATTCTCAGGTGTTTTCTTCAGATCAGCTTGTGATGGAGTGAGACTGTTCACTGTTGATGCTGAAAAAAATCTCTGAAGACCTTTGCATTTTCACACCCTTGGTCATGGTGTTGGTAGGCACATTTAGTGGAGCTGGAGACTGGAAGTGACTTGCTGAATGTCACACAGACAATAAACTATGAGCTACAGGGGCTAACAGCTCTCTGTTTTCCACTGAGGTTTCAGCCAGTGGCCCGTGGAAGTTTGCTGTTTTCATAAAAGGTTGAAGGTGACTTGCCAGCAGGTAGAGAGCCTGAACAGACAGAAGATGGGTGGCTAGGGTGTTTGAGAGAGCCGGAGGAGCTGGTGCTCACATGCCTGGTAAGTTAATAAGCAGGAGTGATAGTGATGGTGCCCAGCTGGGTTTCTCAACAGATTGGAAACAAGGGTCAGCAAGGGTCAAGGTGTGGTCTCCAGGTAATTTATCAGCTTTGCACAGTGGGGCCTTAGGATACTAGAGAGAACTTGTGTGGGGGGGAGGGGGTGTGTGCAAATTTAGAGGAGGAATATAAAAAGGAATCTTTGGCCAAGATGGACTTGATGCAGGAGACTGGGTTTCCTCTCTGGAATACGATGTGTTGGACTTGACTAACAAAAGGGAAACAGCTGGCCATTGGAGAATTAGAAAGCAAACTGAAAGTGTTTGGAAACATTTGGCAGTTGTGCAGGTGCCCGTGTGTACAAGTGTGAGTACGAATAGAGGCTAGAGGTTAACAACAGTTGCTTTGCCAATTGCCTTCCACCTTATTTTTTTTAAAAAACACAGTTTCTCATTGAGCAAGGAACAAACTTGCTAATTAGGCTAAACAGGCTGGCCAGTAAGCCCCAGGGATTCCTCTGTCACAGCCATCCCAGTGGGATACAGGTAGGTCCCACCGTGCCCAGCTCTTTATGTGGATGGTGGGGATCAAACTTCTGTACTCATGCTCTTGCAGCAAGCAGTTTACCAACTGGGCCATTTGTCTCATTCCAGAAAGTCTTGTTTTTAATCTGTTATACTTAGCATGTGTCTCCAGCACCAAAACAAACGTGGGGGGCGGGGGGGGGGGAATGGGGGGGTAACAAAACGGTATCCACTGCTCTGTGGACTCCCAGTCCTATCCCCCATCAGTCTTGGGAAGTGCATTCTATAGTGCCAAAATGTTCTTTCCTCCCTCCCATCTACTATTAAAAAGGCTTACCATGGATGGACCCAAGCAACTGTGGCCCATTCCACAAGGGCCCCTCAAAATCCTTCCATTTTTCCCCAACTGCACCCCCTTACATACACTCTCTTTCTTTTGCACCTGTTTTTCATGAGTGCTGGTTCTCTTCCTGGTCTGGGACTTTGCAGGCTTCTTGTCCCCTTTACAACCCTTAGCTTCTCCCTCTTCTCTGTCTAAATAATCCTGTTTCCTATTTAATACAATCACAGCAGCACTGAATATTTGCATTTTTTAGAGACGCAGACACAAGTCCCACTGAAGGGCTTGATTCCACTTCTGTTCTGATGGAGACCTCTTTTTTACAGGCCCCTCCCCAAACTCTCAATTGCCCTTGCTTATTGAAGTGCGTATTTCATGACATAGGAATCCCGTCTAAAACTTAGCTTTTGACAACTTGGGGCAAGTACTTCCTTCCCCCTGAGTTTCTGATTTCCTCCTACCACGGACTTACTGCTTACAGCATTGCTTTCAAATGAAATTACTCAGCTAGCTATACAAAGAATACTAAATACACTGTTGTCATTACCGTTAATATTTCATTGAGAGGTTTACCCAGAGAGCCACTTCAGCTCCCCGAAATCTCATAATACAAAAGCACAAAACAGGACAGGCTATGACTAATGACCTTTTTCTGAAGAATGCTCTTCCAGAATTTAAAGTGTTTGGCTTTTGTGAAGCAAGACCTTGGTATCTGCATTTGGAGAGTAAGACAATAATCAAAAAGATATTCATGCAGGTTTGCATAAGGTGAGTTTTGGAATTTTTTTTTTTTTTTTCTGAGACAGGGTTTCTTTGTGTAGCCCTGGCTGGAACTAGCCCAGGAACTAGCTCTGTAGACCAGCCTGGCCTTGAACTCACAGAGATGCACCTGCCTCTGCCTCCCAAATGCTAGGATTAAAGGTGTGCACCACTACCACCCAGCGAGTTTTGGAAATAATTTAAACCTTGTGATTTTTCTTCTGTAAAATGGACTTCCGTCCTCATTTGTAGATTTACTAGTCTGACTTATCTGTGACCTACAGCCCTCACTTTTCCCCTCATAGCATTGATTACTTGCAAAGCTACATAGTCCTTTTCTACTCTTTCCCCTTTAGCTATTTTCCTACCGTGCTCCATGATTCTAACCTTAGCATTCCACAGGTCAACCCCCCTTCAGTCTCTCACCTTGCCTTCCCTGTGCACCTCTGAGGCTGCTTCAGTCATTCCATACAGAACCTTTATAGCCCCTCTCTACGTCTACCAGGCTTGCTCTCCATTTCTCTTTTGAAAGCACAGATTGGAGACAGACATGCCTGTAAGTCAAAACATCCAGTGCTTGTGTGTGTGCAAAGAGTGCAGTCTGAGCAGCTTGACCTAGTCCTTTGCCTATTATCCTCAGGAGCCTCGGCTTCTCTCACAAAGTTGCAACAGACCCAGCATCACTCTGAGCCTCCTCATCCTCATCCTCATCCTCATCCTCATCCTCATCCAGTTGCAGTGGTCCTGCACTTGCTTCTGCTAAGACAGAAGCCCTTCCCTTCCTTCCCTTCCTCCCTCCCTCTCCAAAGCTTGCTCTTCCTGTAGGAGCCAGCTCTATAACTAGGCTCTAAGCTCTCTCAAGCTGCCCAGGCAGACAGAGCTGGCTTCTGCTCCTTTGTTCTCATGGCCAGCTCCACACAGCCCTGCTCAGCATTGCTCCCTGCGTTGTAATTGGCCCTTTGTGTTGTCAGCCTGCCCAGTGAGACTAGCAGTTCCCAGAAGGCTAGGAAGACATTTTATTCATCTTTGTATCCATCAAGTACATTTGGTGCCTATAAATCCCTCGTAACTGCTGGAACAAATGCCTGCCCTTATTTCTCGGGGCTTTGTTATGAAATCCAAATGGAATGGTATTTATGACAGAGCAGTATACACTAAGCCACAAATGTAAGAACTAAATCTCCTTCAGGGTCCCTCTGGACTCAAGCAAGCACCACTTCTGTGTAAACAGAGAAAAGTTTCCCTTCAGAAGAATCAAATTTATTCCTAAGTAATCATAGCCATTTAAAACTCCAGCTAAATTGTCTTTTGTAGCCCGTTTCCATCCCACGCTCCATTAATGCAGATGATATTTAAGTAGACATTTGGATTCTGTTCTGTGTCATAAAGTTACATAAACAACATGAAATATTTAACTGACAAGAAAAGATAGGAACCAAGAGGCTTTAAAACTTCCAGAAGAAAACTAATTGTAAGAGGACGGGAGGCAGTGTGGAGGGATCTAAGCTACAAAAACTGGAGGAGGAAGGGTCTGGGAGAAGTGGAGAGGCCACTGGCAAATAGCAGCAATCAACTTTTCAGAAGCCCAGTGTGCAAGAGGCCGAGCAGATACAAAGGCAGCCTCCGTGGTTTCTGAATCATGGGCTTTTCATGGGCACACACATTTTTAGCTAAGTGCTACAGGGCTACCAGGTTGAGTAGATAAAAAATATTTGTTATCAGACACCCCAAAATACAGCTTGTCTATGCTTAAAAAAAAATCATTTGTTGCTTATCTGAATTTGCTATTTACCCGAAAAGCCAAACTGAAACCCTACTCATTTTGAGAACCAAGTCTTTGATAGGATGGGGCTCTGGGGCATTTAGGGGAAAAGACTGAGCAAAGATCCCCTAGTAGGCCCTTCAGACTGAACTACCAGAATTTTTAGGATCATGAAGAAACTGGTGGTGCATTGCCATCTAGTGGGAAAAAAACTTCAGGGAAATTAAACAGTGGTGCTGACATTTATTTAAATTTCTCTAGCATTTGCAAAGAAGGGTGCTGCCCTGGGTAACAGCAAAGTACTGAGGAGCCGAAGCTGCACTGCTAGAAGATAATGTCAATTGGAGGTAACTGGGCAGGTGACAGGGGAGGGAGGCTGGAATGTGTTTGCCTAGAAATCTATGAACTCTCCAGTATGCAGCAACTTGGCTCTCATTCAGGAAAAACAGACCATGACACCACCACCACCACCACCACCATAATAATGAAAACACAGCAAAGCAAAGGCAAGAACTAGAAGAAGTGCAAGAAATTGCCAAAGCAGGATGCATTGGGGGAGGGGGGGAGAGTCCTAATCACAGGAGATAGCAGAGAATGGGGTTAAGATAAATGGAGCTCCTGAGGTAGTTACCATGACAACCGAAGATAGACAAAAGCCTTGATTCTTACTTCAGCCTATTTGCTCAAGGAAAGGAAAGTGATCTTGAAATTAGAAGGTTTAAGTGACAAGTAAAATGAATAAAAGATGGCCTCAGAGCCTCAACCAGGGCATCATAGCTGCTTTCAATAATTCATTCATTTTCCTAGCACATAACAGGAGAGGGTCTCTAAGACTTGATAGAGGCAGAGATACTAATTTCTATTGAGCCGCTTTTTAGGAGCTTCATAAAAATAAATTTAATGTGAAGTCCCTAAATTCTTCTATAAGAGATTTTCAAAATGCGATTCATAAAGTTAGAAAAAAACCACATAAAAACCAAGTGATGAAATAATAACAAATGGCTGTGAGGATGTGAGGAGAGGGGGTCCCTGTCCACTGCTGCTGGGCATGTAAAGTAGTGCGGCCATTATGCAAGTCGGTGTGGAGGGTTCTAAAAAGCATGAAATAAACACAAACCACCAAAACTCTACTATTTTCAGCACAAACCACAAAGGAACATGCCCACTCACGCTTATTCCTGCATTGCTCATAACAACAAGGAAATTGTTGTCTATCGACAAAGGACTGGAGAATAAAAATGTGGTAGGTGTACATAGTGGGATTTTATTCAGATATGAAACAAAAATGGAACTTACAGAAAAATGGATAGAGCTAGAAAGTGTTATATCAAACGGAATAATACAATCTCTAAATGGCAACAATCACTTCTCTCTCATATACAAGTCCTAGCTTACAATGTTTACACGTGTGTGTGTGTGTGTGTGTGTGTGTGTGTGTGTGTGTGTGTGTGTAAGTGGGTACAAATGTGAATATAGGCTATAACACTAGAAAGAAACCACAGAGGGAAGAACAAGAAGTTGAGGAAGTGGAGAGGGCAATAGGATACATGAGTCAAGAAAAAGAAAAGGTTATGGGGTGGAAGTGGACTCAAGGAAATGGAAGAGAAGAGAGGGCAAAAATAAGTGACATTGTGTTTCAAGATGCCATAATGAAACCTAATGCTATGGATGCTGATTAAAATATTTGTCTTCTTTACTTTTTATTGCTGTGGTAAGGCCTCATGATGAAGAAAATTTGCAAAGGAAAGCATTTATTTGGAGCTTATAGTTTTAGACAGTGAGTCCATGATGGCCATGGAGGAGAACATGACGGCAGGCAGGCAGGCAGGCAGGCATGGTCCTAGAGTAGTAGCTGAGAGCTTACATCTTGAACCATAAGCATAAGGCAGAGAGAGCTAACTGGAAATGACAGGTGCTTTTGAAACCTGACAGCCACCTAGTGACACCTCCTCCAACAAGGCCACATCTCCTAATCCTTCCCAAACAATTTCACCAACTGGGGACCAGACATTCAAATATACGAGTCTATATGGAGCATACTCATTCAAACACCACAATGTTCTTACTAGGCATATACCCCGGTAGGTGTCAGGTGTCCCTGAAGTAATATATATATATATATATATATACATATATATATATATATATATTGTTATATAGTTGGGTTGACAGGAACAATAACTTATCTAGTTACGCTACAGAAAATATTTTATTGGGTCATAAAAGCAGGCTTCCCCAAAAAGTCTTTTGCAGGAACTAGCAAAGGGTGGCTTTGGATGATAGTACTGTTGAGGATTCATGGCTAGCTTAACACTAAGTGCCAGTAACAAATGATTTTCTAGGTGAATGACAAAATGTCTCATATACCCTTATTGTTCTGCTTATTAATTTAGCAATGGTTGCAATATAAAATATCTAACACATACTGATTTTCAATTAGAACAAAATTTTCAAGTAGAACAAAAATTGTAAAATAGATGATATCCTGTAAGGATTTCAAAACATCTTAAGATCATAAAGAGCTATAACTATAACTAACCAAATATAGCTGAGCAGGTGACACAAATCTTAGCATATTTATATTTGAGATGTTATTTCTCCAAGTACAAATGGGGGGTGAGTTGAACGCAAAGCATCTTTTATTAAAATACCCTGGAGGCAGTAACTGATGATATAAACATGCTGCAGAGACAAACAAAACACCACACTGTTTTTTGTTTTGTTTTGTTTTTTGAAGGGGTTGGTTTTGAGGCAGGGTTTCTCTGTAGCTTTGGAGGCTGCCTGGAACTATCACTTGTAGACCGGGCTGGCCTCGAACTCACAGAGATCTGCCTGCCTCTGCCTCCCGAGTGCTGGGATTAAAGGCGGGCACCACCACCGCCCAGCCACACTAAAGTTTTTTCAGAGACCCCATCAGCAGAGATCCCATTAGATGGAGATGACAGTCTGTATGTAATAAGCATCACAGACAGCTTTAGCAGAGGTAAGGTTCAAAGGCGACATCCCCATCATCCCTCAGAAGAACAACAGAAATCACATCTGCCTGATAAGGGACAAGGGGAGTCCAAGCCAAGTGAGGGCTGAGCAAAGAGGTTCCAGCATGCCGGGAGAATGCTGGGCTTTTGGGGAAGGTGCACAGCCTCCAATGCCCACAGCTTTAGTTTATACTTTGTGGTGCCTCACTCAGAAAACAGTGCTCCACTCTATCCAGGGAAGCCAGATTTTGTTTCCTCCCAGAATTAAGAACTTGAGAGGAAATCTGCTCAAGTCTTTTGTGAAATAGTGCTGACAAGGACCCAGACTGTTCAAATATTGTAGAGTCATGGATGATGTAGCGTCATGGGTAGGAGTGCTTCCGGTGTGTCAGTAGCTCACAGTAGCAGAAACAGACTATGAAGTTTCTTTAATTTCTAGTTTCTAGGCTTCTCGGGGGTGCTTATCATTTCCTTTCTTCAGACCAGCTCTCGTTTTTCATCTTTTAACACTTAAGATAACTTTCAGTAAAGGAACTGAAGTTTAGATTGTCTGGCACTTGGTCTAAGACTCGCATATTACATCTTGAAGTTCACCATATTTCAGTTTTTAAGTTTGCATATGAAATGTGTGCATATATACTCCACACACAGGTATGCATACTCCCATATGTACATAATCACACAGGTGCACACTCATACACACACACACACACACACACACACACACACACACACACACAGGCTCACATTTGCCATGTACATGGTGGTACCAGTCACTGAGGAGTAGGACCCCAAACCAATACCAAGCTATAGGAAAACACACGAAGTACTATAACTAGACTATGTCTCTACCAAGTCTGAGTGTTTTTTTAAATTGAATTCGTAATATCTGATGAAAAAGTCTTCCTCTCATTTGTCTGTTTCAGGGTTGCCCATTTCATGGGCCTTATGAGACCAAAGTAAACCCGAAGGCTTTGTGGAAGTGTCTTCTTTAGAAGAATCCCTTGTGTACCTAATAAAAGACATCCATATTCATACATCTGACTCCCTAACTTAAGGGCACTGCTACGGGTACAGTCACCCTTGAGTGGCAAAGAGATGATCATTACAACACTAGTCTTGATTCTTGAACTTGATTTGTAAACCCTTCTACATATTGCTTTCAGTGTCCATGTAAGACTAATTCTAGGATTCCCCTGGATGCAAAAATCTGTAGATGAACAAGTCCCTCAGCCGGGAAGTCAGAGTGTGTGCACACAACCCATACATACTCTTTCATACACATTGACTCATCTCTGGACTATTTATAATTCCCCAAACAATATAAATAGTTGTACTAAATGACAAGAAAAATAACTACACATGCTTAGTACACACACAATTTTCTTCTGAATATTTTTGGATTGCAGATGATTGAACTTATAGCTGTGAATTTGAAGGGCTACCTTAAAGATCAATAGAGAAGGTGACTGTGTAACAAAGATATTTTTCACTTCCAAATGGTGCTCCTTGGTGGTTCTTATAGCCACTGGACCAAGAACTATCTTGGTAGATTTGTAAACAATCCATTATGACAGTGGGGTTTTTTTTTTTTGGAAAAAAATTTATCAAATAATCATAGCAAATCCTAATTTGGAAGTATTGTGGGCTACCAGAGTTGGATGCTAAATATATCTCCAACTTACAGGGAGGTTGAGTCATAGCTGAAAAGACTTGCAAAAAGGATATAAGACTAAAATCTGTCATGTGCTTCCTGGATCTCAGGCACCTCCCTAAAAAGCTTTCTGAGTATCAGCTGTTTTATTCCAATAGCCACTTGGTCCTGAAGAACAGCAAATACAAACAATCTTAACATGATCATGGAAATTCTCATATGCCTAGACTGTTACAGATGTGTTGCTGATGTAGACAAATGCTCCTTCCCATATCTCCCCTTCCCATCAACTTAACTCCTGCTACAATAGTTTTGACCCTCTTTAACTGTCTCTGCCTTCTCTGAATGTCATTAAAATCATCTGCACCCCAGTTTCCCTTAGAAACACCCTTCCTATTTCAGGGGTGCACGCTCCCTTCTGCTACAGCCAAAGCAGTCCTTTCCACCTGCTTCTTCCTTGGGTGGGTTACATCTCCCACCAGCCACCCTGCAGACTTGACCGTAACCATCGGTATCCATATGGCTACAGAGCTCACGATGCTCCCTACAGCCCACAGCCTCCTTGTCCCAGCCGGTTACCTCTCCCCCCCCCCCCCCGCCGGTTTCCCCCCCCCCCCCCCCCCAGTCTTGGCACTTTCTCTTGACTTCATTATCCTGATGCCCTAAGCCACTCCCTCTGCAACTCTCCCTGCATTCCCCATCTCCCCACCCTTCTCTTAATGTCCCTTTTTTCCCTACTCACATCACTAGTATTCACACATATCCTTCCCTCACGTTCTTTTTCTTCTCTTTATATTCCTGCCTGCCACATGCAAGTCAAGTTGTCCTCGTTTGTTCATTTCTGCCCATCATGTGCACTTTCTCTGGTGGTTTTCTGCATCCTCTAAGTGACAAATTGGCACTCATCTCCCTAACTCATCTTCCAAGATGAGTTTCAAGACAAGAACCCCCAGCTTTCTCTGCCTATTTTCAGTTTTGACTTCTTTCCAAGTGGAATCTCCCTGCTTCTCCCAGCTATTTTCTCTTGGTCTCAAAATCTATTTTTTCTTTCCTTGGACCTTTGAGTCCCTTCACCCTGCTGTTTCTGTATCTGGGCTTCACTTTTCTTCTTTGAGAAACCTTATTTGAGGATAGAGAATAGTCACAGGATGAAATCTGTCACTTAACTCCTGATGGGGAAAGTACTTCTGTGTATGTTTATCTTATTGATTGTTGAATAAAATACCATTTGGCCAATGGCAGCAAGTTAGACAGGACTAGGAGTCAAAGAGGATTCTGGGAAATGTAGTAGATAAGTGGTGAGCCAGGCAGGAAGTGACATAGCAAGGAGACTCATATCTAAGCGAGGAAACAGGAAGTGTCCCCTTTTTCCTGTTCGCCTCCTCCAGCGGCAGGATGTGAGCCACCGGCAAGGAGGGACGCCAATTAGGCGTCCGATAAGATAAGTCTTATAAAATATATAGATTTATAATAATTAAGACTGAGCTAGCAGATGAGAAGTCCTAGTCATTGGCCAAGCAGCTTTGTACCTAATATGTCTCTGTATTATTTTGTCCATCCACGAGGTGGGCAGAACTTGGGCAGCTGGCGGAGACCACCCACGTGGCAGTAGAATTCAGGCAGCTTTTGGTGGAAAGATTTATCATAACACACTCCATGTTTTGTTATTTCCTACCGTCTCTACTCTTCATTCTGTTCCCATTGGATCCATCTCTCTATGACATTTTACCCTTTCATACAAACTGACTGTGCATCCACCATCTTATCCTTATACCAAAGCAAGAGCTCATACCCAGAACCAGTACATCTAATATTTCCTCCATCATTGAGGAATTTGTCATTGGTCCAATTTGGCTAGCCCCATTATGAGAAAAGTATCTAGGTTTTATGCAGATTTGAAGTTCTCTGCAATGGACTGCAGAGCAGGTGTGCACACATGGGCGTGTTCACATGGTCTGTCCATTCCCTCCTGAGCTCCTAACCCATTGTCTAGTCATGGAAAAAAGACTTTTCTTTTGTCCGCCTGCTGGCTTTCCCTCCTCTTCCACTCTTCAAACCATTCCCAAGGCTGCCTAGATTAGTTTGCAACTCCAAATAGTACCCATGAACAAAACCAACCTGTAAAACTTCAGTCTGTGTTTAAGTAAGAAATGGCAGTTATTTTAGCATAGGTATTCTCCCAGGTACCTAAAGTCATATTCTTTTGGTTGCCTTCCCAGTTATGGCCTAGGAGACAGAAAGACACTTGGAACTTTTATCCCAATCCAGCAAAATCTATGCTGTCAGAAATTAGAAGTACTATGACATCATCCTAACCCGGGAAGAACTGCCTACTTGCTACACTATTTTAGGTATCAACCATATCTCATTCTTTCTACCTATTAATCCACCATTCACCAAAAAATAATTTTGGTAAAAATAAGTTAGGATTCCAGTAAAAAATTCATATGGCTTCACAGCATATTCCAATAGCTTCCATGATACTCATATTTCTCTTGTGATACTATTCCTGCAAGGCCCAAAATTGAGAGGGGGCTCCAGAATCAGTTTCAGTTCTGGGTTTGGGAATGGGCTAATTTAGTGGCAGAACTAAAGGAAATACATAAGGTGCCCAAATCCTCCTTCAGTGGAGAAATGGACTCACGAAAACTCCAGGGTCCATATGTTGATACCCAGTGGGGACCTCTCTTGAGGGTTACATCTAACAAGCACCCAGACAAGTAGTCAGAAACACAGCTCTTCATTCACAGAAAAAAACACCCAGTAGTTACTGTTTTATTGCATACACTGAACACTAACTCAAATGTCTAGGAAGGAACTAAAAGCACAGAAAGTGATGTATCATTTACAGTCAGCATGGCCCGATTCTCTTCAGAACTCCTAAGGGGTAAAGGGGAAAAGGGGAAAAAGATGCCAGCTCTCTTCCTTCTTAAAGACCTTGGGCCAGTCCGTAGCCTTTCAAATCTTTAAATCCTGTTCTTTGCACAAGTGCCTCAATGCTGTTCTTCGCCACAGCCCCTTACAAGACCTTTTCTTCACTCTTTAGTCCCTGTGGCATGGTTACTCTTAGTTTTGTCCTTTACCTCCTCTGGTGCAGGTTGCTCAAGAGAAGAGGCAATCTGCTCCCCTGGCATTTTGCTTAGTGAGGACACTGTCTCTGGTCCTTTAGTGCCTTTAGGAAGCCCATTGAGTCCTAATGAAGGCTGCTTGCTCATAGTCTGAGCACATGGAGCCGGAAGCAGGTCTGGAAAGTAGCCCTCTATCCCCAGGGGGTGTCCCAGAGTGTGTGGGTATTGTGGACTCAGGAAGGGAGGTTCTGGCAAGCAATGGCCACCCCAGGGCCCTGGACCTGTGGAGTCAAAGAATATGGGAATTATTGGAAAGGACTAAGAACATCCAACACCACTGAATTGCGAGTCTCTTTCTTCTCCCTCAGGACCACGGCTTAGGTCCCTAGTGCAGCTTGAGTGAAACATAAATACCAGCCTCTCCCCGAGGATCAGACAGGCTCCTGGACGCCGGGTCCTGTGATTTAGCAGACCATGGGTCAAGCCCAAGTGCTGGCCCATATAGACACCAAGGAGGCATGGAACCACCTGGACATGTTTCATTTCCCCCTATAGAACTCTTTCATTTGTAAGATGGAGGACTTTGGGGTTTCAAAAGTCTAGATAGTTCAGCATAATGGCTGCTACCAATTCTGTACCAGGTCCCTGTGTTCGCTATTTTTAGTGGTCACCAGATCCTTCAGCAATATGAAACTAGTGCTCCAATGACAGGTCAACAGAAGTTTCTGCAAGCCAGGAGCAAGCAGGAGGTTTGCTCATCACCCATGACCTGCCTGATTCTCCCTTTCAGTTAAGGGGGCAGTGGGTCTTTCTCGACTTCAAATAGCAGGGGAGATCTTCCTTTCCAGCCTCAACTCACCCATATTTCCAACATGTGGCTGTAGCCAGTGCTGACCTGGTGAGAGCCCAGGGCAGTAATCCTGTGACGAGTCCCCACTGAGGCCGAAAGGAAAGGAAAAGAGAGAGTCTTCTGGTGGCAGAAAGCTTGGGGTGGGGAGCAGGAAGGGGGGCAGGTAAGGAAACTGGGACTGAAAGGGTGGGAAGAGGGGAGTCTGTGGGGCCTGGGAGAATGGGAATGAACCCAACTGGCTGCTTGCTGGGTAATCCTGAGGCCCCAGGTATTCCAAAGTTGAGCAGGCGGATGATGAGGTGATGCTATGGAGGACAGAGGAGTATTTAGTGAGGTTTAACAGTGACCTCATTGGTGCATCTTGGGGCATCGAACCTTGGACATCACATCTGCCTCACCCCCTCCTCACCCCCAACCCCCTACCCCTGCACCTGCTCACTGCTTTCCCCATGTTTCTCTTCTATTGCTACGAAATACTAGATCATTCCTACCCCAAACTCACACATCTTTTTACTCCCCATCACACAGGCCACTCTCCCACCCACTCAGCCTTTTCCCTGTCCCCAAGGTTGCCTCTGAGTTTAGGTCCCTTACCTGGTGTCCCAGGACCCACAGGGGCTGTCCTTGTGTATACTGTTACTTCCAGGAACATCCCTCAGTGGAGGCATCACTTGGGGGGGTTGGATAGGATCAATAGGAAGAGGAAGGTTGGTCCTTTGAAGTGGTGGGGGGCTGAAGAGTGGTGGGGTCACTGCTACCCTCTGAACACCCTCACTGTGCTGAGAGGGGGCCAGAGTCTGGTCAGAAGTCAGCAGCATGTGGGACTCTAGGAAAATACGGCAAAGAGGGGCTCTCAGCACAAGAAGGTGGGAATAAGATGGCAACCATGGCACTGCTGAATGGCAGGCAGTGGGTGCAATACCCAGGGATCTGGCATGAACCCTGGAGAGCTGTCCCCACTGCTACCTCTATAGATCAAGAACTTTCTGTTCCAATGGTTTTCTTAGCTTTAATTTCCACCCCAACCCCCCACCCTCAAACTTTTTGAAAGTGGTAGTGCACCTGGAAAGCCATCCAAAATGTGCTCCGGAGGAACAGGGCCAGGGTCTAGATCTGCAGGTGTAGGAGGTAGGAGCTCAGGCACAGACCTGGAGGCAGAGCGAAGGAACACTGTAACTTCTATATGGCTGCAGGGTTTAGAACTCAGGTTCAGGGTCACTTAAAGGCACCAGCAGCTCCTAGACTCCAGCCCGAATCCCTGAAGGACTGAATAGTCAGTACCCCCAGCACTCACATCCCACTTCCACATTCTCCTTCAAGCCCCCAGCACTCCTGTGTGGACGCCACTTCCTGCTTGGTGTGGACAATCCAAGACCGGGAGCCCTTCCCACCTGTGTTGACTGCCGTCAGCACTGGGGGCTGCAGGGCCATCCCTGTTCCCCTTCTCGCTCAGCTTCTCCACTTTTCGCCACTTGGCCCGACGGTTCTGAAACCACACCTGTGGACAGAAAAGGGCACCTGCATTTGAGAATGCTGATATAGACGAAGTTTTGGTGTCACTGTGGAAGACACTTTCCTGGCTTTACTTGGAAATATAAAAAAGGATCTCTGTGGCTTCTTCCTTCCTCTTTTAATTGGTTAAAGCTGCAGCCCGTGGAACAATTGGGACACCCCTGCATCTGAGACTAACTCCAGTCACTGTCCCAGCAGAGTGAGCATGTGGCCCCTTCCAGATAGCTCTGGCCAGCAGCTCCTGCATCGCCTTCCTGACCAATTAGCCATCCCCCTTTACCATGATGCGTTGGGAGGTGACCCCCAACATCTGGGCAATCTCGCGACGCTTGTCACTGTCCGGATAGTGGTCTTCCTGGAATATCCGTTCCAGCTCCTCCAACTGGTCTGCAGAAAGACAACACTTACAGCGGAGGCCAGACACCACAGCAGGACAGGGGAAAAAGAGACACCCATAGCAGGTACCAGCATTTGTGCCAAAGCAAGAGCACACCTCTAGTGCATAGTGTGATATATGCGTGCGTTTCTGACTCTCTTATTCAGGTCTAAGAAGACAAGACAGCCTTCATGGCCTTCCCTTCAGGGGGTCAGAGGTATTGGCACTGCCATGGATAAAGAGAAACATACAGGATAAAGTGAATAATTGTACCTTACAGATTTTCATTTTCCTCCACCTGTTGGGACTAACCTGAGCGGTACAGGGTTCGAGTCTTTTTCTGAAATGGACAGGTCACTTCTCGGGACTCCTTCAGGTCCTCTGCTTGACTGCTCTTGGCCAATGTGTGGAGGAGACTGGGGGCTAAGCCTGGTTCAGAAAGCATCAGTCAGTGTGTGGCAATGTTGAGTGACATCTTGAAGATGACGTCAACACCAAGCCCATGGTGTTAGGATTCCTGTGCTTACCAAGGACTGCAGAAATGGATGTCCTTGCTCTCTTTACCTTTCTCTCTGGGAGAGAAGAAAGGTCTTCCTCGGGCTGGGGACTACATGCAGCTGGTGCTGGGTCTTTGTCAAGGCACCCTCTGCAGGTGTCAGCACCCATTAACTCTCCAGAGGTCTTTGACAGTGGTCTCTTTTCTGAGCCAGCCCTGCGGAACGAGGACTGCTTGCCTTGGTCATCTTTAGCAGGTAGGGTAGAATCCTTCAGTGGTCCCTCAGACTCCATCCCAGCAGTCCTGGGCTTGGCCCTAGCTTCCTGGCCTGTGGAGAGCAGCAGCCAGTGGCACTAGATGGTAGAGCCCCTTTTTCCCTGCAGCTGACCTGCTGTTAGAATCTAAGGTTTTTGTCGCCTCTTCCAAATGAGGCCCAAATGCCTGGCACACCTTCGAACTGGACACTCAGGAGGATGGATTGGATAGGTTCTCAACCTTCCTAACACTGTACCATTTAATACAGTTGTGACCTACCCAACCATAAAATTCTTTTTCTCCCCCCCCCCCTTTTTAGATTTTTCGAGTCAGGTTTTCTCTGTAGCTTTGTAGACCAGGCTGTCCTCAAACTCACAGAGATCCACCCTGCCTCTGCCTCCTGAGTGCTGGGATTAAAGGTGTATGCCACCACCACCCAGCTATAAAATTATTTTCTTTGCTACTGGTATGAATCATAACATAAATACCTGTGTTTTCCAATTGGTCTCAAGCCCCCCACACACACTCCCTATACACACACACTCCCTACACACACACACTCCCTACACACACACACTCCCTACCCACCCACACACACACCCTCCCCACACACACTCCCTACACACTCTCCCTACACACACACACCCTCCCTACACACCGCCCTCCACACACACACCCCCCACACACCCACACCCCCCACACCCACACACACCCCCTCCACACACACTCTCCCTCCCCACACACACACACCCCCTACACACACTCCCTACACACTCTCCCTACACACACACACCCTCCCTACACACCGCCCTCCACACACACACCCCCCACACACCCACACCCCCCACACCCACACACACCCCCTCCACACACACTCTCCCTCCCCACACACACACACCCCCTACACACACTCCCTACACACTCTCCCTACACACACACACCCTCCCTACACACCGCCCTCCACACACACACCCCCCACACACCCACACCCCCCACACCCACACACACCCCCTCCACACACACTCTCCCTCCCCACACACACACACCCCCTACACACACTCCCTACACACTCTCCCTACACACACACACCCTCCCTACACACCGCCCTCCACACACACACCCCCCACACACCCACACCCCCCACACCCACACACACCCCCTCCACACACACTCTCCCTCCCCACACACACACACACTCCCTACACACACACACACACACACACACACTCCCTACACACACACTCTCCCTACACACACACACACACACACACTCCCTACACACACACTCCCTACACACACACTCCCTACACACACACTCCCTACACACACACTCCCTAAACACACACCCACACCTACACACACAACC